ATTTTTTTTATTTTTTTACTTACAACTTGAGAAACACAGTAGAGGCTGCTGAGTGAGAATCAACTCAGATGCAGTGGGTTTGAGTTTGGCTCAGATGCAGTTGGAGATCTATAAAAGAAACCCAAAAACCAAACATTGAGCCAATTCCACGTCAAGTGTGTGCAGCGCAGAGCTGCTCCATGGCAGTTCTTTAGAAGCAGACCACCAGGCCTTTTTCTTAAGTCCCCTTGGGGTAAACTTGAACTGTCAATGTTTTGGTTAGTAGTTAAGCACTTAACCAATTAGACCACCCAGGAATATCATTTATTAAATACTTAGAATGTGTCAATAACTGTCCTAAGAGAAGCATTTGTTCTTCATAATAATATTCTGAAATATGAGTATTATTTTAATTTTAGAAATGGGGAAACAGCTCCAGAGAGCATATATACTTACTGAAGGTCATGTGCCACTAAGTGGTAAAGCTAAAATTCAAACCTCTATGCATAGTCCTTAGACTTAACTCCTCTACCTCTTCATATAAGTACAATTATTATTACAGCTACAAACCACTGAGTAAGCAGAAATCAGAGGAAGAGTTCAAGGATAAGAACCAGCTCTTAGAGGCCGTCAATAAGCAATTGCACGTAAAGTTGACTGAAACCCAGGTAAGAATATACTAGACTTCTGCCATTGGTTGCCATAAAGGAACTTAGGCATGTGGGATCCTGAGGAATGGTCCACCGGGAGGGAGCAAGCTTGTTATTCCTGGTCCCTGAGGCAGAAATAAAGGACTCTGGGCTTGTGATATAGCTGTCAAAGAGCAAAGACAGTAAAGACGATCCCAGGGGAATGGGACAGCCCTGATCTATGTGGCACCCCAACAGGGAGAATTGAAAGACCTGACTCAGAAGGTAAAGCTGCTGGAGAAGTTTCAGGACAACTGTTTGGCAATTTTGGAGAGCAAGGGCATAAACCCAGGTGAGAAACAGCACACAGCTAACTTCAAAGGAATCGGTGCACTATACCCCTCAGTGCACTGACTCCAGGCTATTGACTGTACAGTATTTAGGATGCCATCAGCTTGACTTTGTGGGAACACAGATTGCTAAGGCAAGTCCTAAATGTTTTGAAGACTTGTTCAGCTACTTTCCCCTTTATGTGATGTTGATCTTGTCTAACAGAACTGTAAAGGGTTGGAGAGGAGAAGGTTTATCTCTTCTTTATTAGAATAGTTTATACCAAGAGGTGTGACCTTTCAAATAGAGCAGAAGATACTTTGTGAAAGAGTACCTTGGTAACTTTCCTAGTTGAGAAGAGGGAAACATACTGTGTAAGGTTATTGAGTCATTAGAGTCACTGTAGTTAAATGTGTTTCCTGTTCTCACCCTGTCCCTGGAGAGCAGAGTCTGTAGCTAAGAAGAGAACAGAAGGAATTGTTCAAAGTCCAAAAAGGATCTTGGACTGAGTTGGAGGAGCAGCACAGGGATGCCCTGAGATGGCCTCTTTTCATGAAAAAAAAAGTTGAATTTGAACAGTGCTAGTTCAACTTGTGGGTTCTATTTTAGGATATATTCTTTATAGTCACAAGGTATACTTTACACTTTGGAAAATGGTGAATGACATAGAAACATCAAAAGAACATGGAAAAGAACTGGTTAATGTTTAACCATTTTAGGAGGTAACATATGATGAAGAACAGATGATCCTGAAGGAAGAAATACAAGCTGCACTGAAGGCACTAGCAAAATACAGGTCCAGGAATTGACGGAAAACCAATTGAAATATTTCAACAAATAGGTGCAGTGCCAAAAGCACTCACTTGTCTATCCAGGGATGGGGTGAGAACAGGAAACACATTTAACTACCGTGACTCTAATGACTCAAAAAGAAGTTTGAAAGACAGCTACCAGGCCAGCTGAGTAGGAGAAATCCATATTTGCATGCATTAAAAAAAAATCCAACAGAATGCATATATTATTGAACAATATCACATACAAGTATATTCTTTTTGCTAAAGAGAATGAAAAAAAAAGTAGTTAAACAGAATTAAAAAATAGCTGTAGTAGTACTTCAACAGGGAACTTCCAGAAACTAAGCCAGGTTCAGAAGAGAATGGGAAATACTGATGTCAGAGGGGTCAGGATCTTGATTAAAATTAGAAAATTCCAGAAAGATTCTGACCTGTTTTATTGACTGTGCAAAGGCATTCAACTCTATGCATCATAATAACTTGTGGATAACATTGCAAATAGGAATCGCACAACACGTAATTGAGCTTATACAGAACTTGTACATACAACCAGGAAACATTGAGACAGAGCAAGGGGATATTGCATGGTTTAAAATCAACAAAGATGTGTGTCAACCATATCCTGACAGTATACTCATTCAGTCTGTATGGTAATCCAAGATATGGGACTATATACAGAAGAACATGGTTTCAGGATTGGAGGAATTGACCACCTTCAACATGTGGATGATGCATTTTTCTTGCTGAAAGCAAGGAGGACTTGAAACATTGATGAAGATCAAAGTATATGCAGTGCAGTGAATTTTTTGATGTAGGTCTCTAGCCACCGTCTTTGAAACTCTCACCCCATGGCTGGGTAGGACTTGGCAAATGTGAGATGAAAACTTGGGGAGGGTGTCAGGGACCTGTTGCTTAGAGAAGTTCCTGTCATACTTGTCCTTGGAGAGGCTTTTGTTTTAAAATACAGTTCTCCATGTGAGGCTAATTTGTTGTATCTGTCAGTTTTAGGAAATGAGTCCCTCGCAGCACAAGAACCCACTGCAGATCACATGGAGTCTATGGTGAGGTCATGGCTATGGAAGGGTGGGACCAAATGAGTGTGCACTCTAAATCTGAGAAGGTCTCTGCTGTGTGCTCAGTACACCTCAAGAGCACCTCTCCTCTGATAGGTGCTTAGTAATAACCAAGTGGTTATCTAAGGTAGAAGAGAATAGAAGCAATTGTACTCGCAAAAGAGTGTATTTCACTTGGAAGTTGCTTTTGTTCTTAAAAATATGAGTGAGTCTGAGTAGAAAACATACTGCTATTTAATTCCAAATAATAAGATGGTTGTATAAGGAGCATTCTAGTTTCTCCATTCTAACTTCACCAAATTTCTCTTGGGTTACATTTAGGATCTGTAAGATAGAAGCACAATTCCCTTGCTCCAGAGATCCAGCTTGAGTTAAATTTAGGTTCTTGACTCTTGTATTCTTTTTCTGAGGTAGGCAGGTGACTGTTCAGGCTTAGTCTTGAGCTTCTGTGATCTTTTCCCCTAGAAGATCAGTTATTAGTCTCCATCCTGTAATTACTGCATTTCATCCATATTGCTTTGCAGCATATGACCGAACCATAATATCACGGGTCCTGGGGACTGAGTTCCTCAAACATTGCCCCACAGTATAGTTCTGGAGTATGTGGAAAATGATGAGGGGACTTAGCGATCATCTAATCCAGCTCTCCTTTTATATGACTAGAGTAAACAGAATTTTCACATTCCAATAAAGATTTGTTACTACACTATACTTCTCTTTTAGTTGCTGTTAGAAACTTTACAAGATGAGCTGAAGCTTTTTAATGAAACCGCCAAAAAGCAGATGAAAGAGTTACAGGTGAGAGGCAGCATCATTCTGAGTCTGAGACAAAATTCCTGGGTTTTTACTATAATGTACAACTTTTTGGAGTATTCTTGCTTTCTGTTTTTTATTTGATTTTGAAATAATTTTAAACATAAAAAAGTTACAAAGATAACACACTCTTCAACCCTCCTACTGTTAGCATCTTATATTACTATGGCATATTCATCATAACTCTACCACCATTGGTGTCTTATTAATCACTAAGTTCCAGAATTAATTAATTTGGATTTCACCAGTTTTTTCACTAACTCCTTTTTTTTTATTCCAGAGGATTCTTAGAGATGTCCACACTTCTGGGGCATAAAGCAATGCACAAAACATTAGGTTGCTCAGAATTGAGAGTTATAACCTATATGAAATCCATGCTGTAGAAATTTGTTTTTATTATTATGTTCATAATGTGATATATTATTATTGTGGTAGTGCCTATCTCAAGGAGGAATCCTATAATAAGAAACTTAGGTTCTTGGGTCTGGACTACTTTAATAAATCTTTGGACACTGAGCTGTGTCCTGTAGGATTTCATTGCCCTAGATGGTTCAAAATCAAAAAAGTAGCGCATCAGGGATGCATCCTTTCTCCATACCTTTTTAATCTATATGCAGAACAGATTATTTGGAGGCTGGACTCTGAGGAGGAATGTGGCATCAGGATTGGGGAAGATTCATCAACAACCTGTGTTAGGCAGATGACAAAACCTTGAGGACCTAAGCATTTGCTGCAGAAGGTCAAGGACTACAGTCTTTAGTATGTTGTGAAGCTCAACATCAAGAAAAAAAGATTCTCGCCACTGGACCAATCGGCAGCACCATAATAGATGGAGAAGAGATTGAGATTGTTAACAATGTCAGTTTAATTGGTTCCACAATCAACACCTTTTACACCAATAGTCAGGATATCAAAAAACTAATTGCATTGGGAAAACCTGCTGTCAGGGACCTCTCCAAAGTGCTATGTCAGTCTAGAGATTAAGGTGCACTTGTAATTACTTGCTATGTATCAGAGAGCTTGACAATGACTAAGGATGTCAGAAGAATTGATGCCTTTGGGCTATGGTGCCGGAGAAGAGTATTGACCATACCATGGACTGCCAAAAGAACAAACAGATCTGTCCAGGAGAGGGTGAAGCCAAGCTGCTCCTTGGAGGCAATGATTTTGAAGCTCCATCTCACATACTTAGGGCATGTTGCCAGGAGGGGACAGTTCTTGGAAAAAGACATCATGCTTGGAAGGGTAGAGGGACAGTGCAAGAGATGAGATGGATTGTCATAATAACTGAGATAATGGGAGTAAGGATGTTGGGAGACAGTGAGACTGACTCAAGATAAGTCAGGCTTCAGAGCTATTGTACATAGGGGTTGCTGTGAGTTTCAGGTGACGTGATGGCACATAAGTAACAACAAGATAGATACAATTCCTAAAACACAACAAGACTGTCAGTATTCCAATGGTCTTCCTCAATAGTATAGAGTAATAATGTTCGACTGTGCTGTTATTTATTGAGTTTTAGATTTTTTTTTATTAAATCTTTTTAGTTTTTATTTTTTCTGTATTGTGATTTAGGTGGAAATTTACAAGGCAAATTAGTTTTCCATTCAACTATTCATATACATTTTGTTTTATAATGTTTTAGAGTGCCCAGTGTGACCCTCAGCTCTTCTCACTTCCTTCCTGTGATTATCATTTCCATTAATCCTCTACCTCTTCCTGCTTTCTGAGCTTTCTATTTGAGCCAGTGCTGCTCTTTTGATCTTATATGGCTGGTTAGTCAACGGAATGAGTGGCACCATGGTGTGGTCAGTCTATAAGTCTGTTTATTATTTTGATGAAAGTTGAGCCATAGGCATTTGGTTCCATGTTCAGAGGGTGACTAAAAGCTATAGTCTTAGGGAGCTCTGGTGGCCTAGTGACAAGAACCTGTACTGCAATCCCAAAGGTGCACTGTCCTAATCCACCAGACGCTTCTCTGGAGAAGGAGGGGCAATCTTCTCCTGTGCCAATCAGATCCGATTTCATGGTACACAACAAGGAAAAAAAAACTATACTCTTGGAGGTTCCACCAGTCTCTTTTGAACTGTGTACCTCACCATTTGTATATTTTTTAGTTTTGTTTCACATTTTTTCCCACCCTTGGACCTTCTAGAGTGATCCCTTTTGGTGTGGTCCATAGAGGTAGCCACGCACCATCTAGGGCCCTGATCACAGAGTTGTGGAAACTGGAGTACACATAGCCCATTAGTTCTCTGTACTAATCATTTCCATATATTTTACTTTTTCTTCAGTATACTTTGTTCCAGACAGGGTCAGACACTTTAGATAGCTGCTACTAAGGTTTTAAGATAGTCGCTCTCTCCTCACCAAAGTAGGATATAGAATGTTGTCTTTGTGACTTTTGTTGTTGTGTGCCATCAAGTCGACTATGACTCGTAGCAACCCTGTGAACAATGGCTCTACACCCTGCCCTGTCTTGAGCCACCTATCGCTGAGATATCTGACCCATTGTCATAGTCACTATGTCAGTCCATCTCATTCAGTGTCTTCCTCTTCTGGGCTGACCCTTTACCCTTCTAAGCATGATGTCCTTCTCCAAGGACTGGTCCTTCCTGGCAACAGGCCCAAAGTATATGATAGGGAATTTTAAAATCCTTGCCTCCAAAGAGCAAACTGGTTTCACTTTGTCCTGAACAGACATGCCAGTTGACCTTACTGTCTCCCAAGAATATGGGCCTGAGGCCCCAGAACTAACAACTCATTCCCTAAGAGTGTTTGGTTAGGATTAAGACATTTACCTAGTTTTGCTTCCTGTTGGCCCTGCTATATATATGGCTATATTTACAAAATATATGAAGGAGCTCTGGTGGCCTAGTGGTAAGAAATTGTGCTGCAATCTCAAAGGCAAGAGGTTCAAATCCACCAGCTGCTCTACAGGAATAGGATGGACAGGCTTCTGTGCAATTAACTGCCACTGAAAACCTGCGTCCTGTTGGCTCTGCTATATACATGGCTATATTTACAAAATACACGAATACGAATGGGGAACTATCATCTGCCAAACCTTTGTATGGTCATGGGTTTTAGACTTCATCTATCCATATCTGTTTATCTTGCGTGTCTAAAGACTGATGTTTATTTATTACTGAATATTGCAGAATTATGTATATAGTACATATCTTTCTTGACTGTATTTCTTATCTATTTCTCCATATCTTCTTTAGTTTATTTTCTTAATATGTTTTCCTGCAGGCCTTAAAGGTAAAGTTGAAGACGAAAGAAGAAGAAAGGATCCGGTTCCTAGAACAGCAAAGCATATGTAACAATCAAGTAAATGATTTTACAACTGCCCTTGAAGAAATGGAGCAGCTATTAGAAATGTGATGATAAAAAAGGGAAGTGGCCAAATGGCTCCCTCTCGGAATAAATGCTTTGAGGAAGCCACTTAGGACAGTGCTTCTTGGCCATGACCTGGGACTCACCATCGCCTGAATGAAAACAGCTTCTGTGGTAGGACTAAGGACAGGTTTATAGAGGAATGGCAGCTCCTTTCTTAAGCAAGTGCTCCCATCAGGCAGATTGGCCACCTCTCCCGAGCCTCACGCATAGGTAATTGAGGCTTGCAAGAAGGGAGGATGTGGAGGCTTGGATTAACCTAGGCCACAAAGCCGCACACCACTAGAACTGGGAGACTAGCCCCAGCCAGAGGGCCTAAGATCACGTTGACATTTGGGGAAGACGGTTGAGGAACCACGCAGCCCCCTTCCAGCCTCTAGCACATTCTGTCCCCTCCTAGTTGGGCTTCTGTTCTTCATTGTAAATTTATCAACTTGAAGTTGCTTAAAATAGTTTAGTTTAATAAATGAGGTGAAGGCTCAATAATAACACTTAAAACAATACATCTAGGAAATTTAAATCACTTCTGGTTTTTTAGAGGTACTACTTCTAAGATAAATATTTCTATAAATATTCTCGCTATAATGATGAGTAATGGGGAAAACATTTTAACCTAAATACATCCACTGAACACTACTGAACAAACCAACTTAAGTTCAAGGCTCTAGTTGAAGACATTTTTCTCTCTAAATGTGGTGAGCCCTGCTGTCTCCCAGGATTCCTAGTTAGTCTTGAGGATGCTCTTTCTTTGTAGCAGTACATTCCTGATGCCATTCACCATGTTATGGTCACTGGCAGTGTTTGTGCTCCTAATACTCATTAAACACGATTATATTCCTGCTGTTTGCTTTTTCTAACTAATCCTGCACTTGGCCTAGACACTGGATTCTTTAATCAAATTAAATTGCCCATAGTTGGCCTCTCACTGTTAGAACAAAAGAATCACTTTTTAGGAATAATTTTATTAGTCAAGCTAGACAGACTCTGGCTTTGATCATCATTCTTTTCTTCACCTCCCAATTTCATTTTCCTAGAGCTCTGGTGGTCTCATAGTAAAAAGTTGCCTTGCCAACCCAAACACGGGATCAAATCCACCTAAATGGGAGAAAAATGGACAATCTCTCGTGACATTTACAGCCTCTGAAAACACATTGGAGGATCAGCTATGAACTGGTTTGAACTCAAGGGCATATAACAACTCTGGGAGTATAGTCAGTAGGGAGTTGCATTGCTGACCCCAGGTGTCACCTTTCCATCAGTTTGAATCCACTGTTGACCCATGGGAGGCAGATGAGCAGTCTCCTACCATGTGATTAACAGTCCCAGCTGGAGGGTCAGCTGAGTGTCAGCTCAGACTTGATCGCGGTGAGTAGTAGTAGTTTGTGCACCAACCATCCCCACCATCCTTCAGCTTTTCTTCCCAAGGCTGCCAGAAGACACCCATCAAGTCAAGTATCTTTCCCACTCACTCAAGAGGCTAATATTTTTTACCCTCATTCACACACAAATGTTCATTTGTTATGCCTCACGCATTTGGGAGTGGGGGGGAGGGGAACAGTTCAATTATACTAGACCTGAATGCTTCCCTCATTTTCAGGATGCTTAGTTTTAAAGATTGTGTACCAAAGTTAATTTGTAATTGACATTTCTTCACGCATATAGCAGGAGCTTCTTTTTGTGTACAGTCAAGTCATAACCAGCCCATAGCTGACCCTCCAGCAGGTTTTCCGAGGTAATAGACCTCATGGTGTGTGTGTGGGGGATTGCCCATCTTTCTCCTGCAGAGCAGCTATTGGACTCAAACTGTGTGCCTTTGGCTTGGCAGCACAGTTCCATACCACTAAACCACCAGGGTTCCCACCAGGAGGAGAAAGTACAAAACCTGAGATCCTCCTTGTCGCCCCCCCGCCATGCTCCTATGCCAAGCCTCCCTACTTTACTCCTAGAACTCTGACTATCTGAACATATTTTGTTCCTCCTCTTTGCTGATGGAGAGCGTTGTTCTCTACTGGCCAGTTCTCACCAGGCACCTTCACTTGGGCTTTCACCCCTTGGCAAAGTACACAGTATTTGCATATCTCTTGCCTTTTCTCTCTTTCCCTCTTAGGGCTGGCTCCTCCATGTGTGTTGTTTACATATGGTGTTCAGGCCACATACTCTAACCTAGGACTTGAATAAACTTATGCATACCATAAATCAGTAAGTACTGGTCTACACCTTCTACTTTGCTGGGCACTGTAGGAAATTATGGCATAATCACAAGGATGTTTATCACCCATGTAGGGGAAACAAATTGCAGGTCACATGAATGTTAAATAGTGAAAAAGAACAACCCCAAACCACTACCATTATCAAGTCAATTCTGAGTCATGACATTCCTCCATTTGGATTCCAAGTGGTAAATCTTAACAGGAGACCACAGACCATAGGTGTGTTGGAGACAGTGAGATTGGCACATGATAGAGCAGTGCCGGAGGTGACTTGAATGCATACAACAACAACATTGTTGCAAGTATATCATAACTTTTTTAAAAAATTGTGTGTACCAACAACCTTTTTTAACTGTCTTATTTTACTGTTGTTGGATACCATCGAGTCAGAACTGACCCATCGCTGACCCTCTAGCAGGTTTTCAGAGGCAGTTAATCACATGGGAGGAGATTGCCCATCCTTCAGCGGAGCAGCTAGTAGATTCAAACCATGTGCCTTGGAGATTGTAGTGCAGCTTCTTGCCACGAGGCCACCAGAGTTCCACATCAAACAACTTTTTGCAAATTTACTTTGTTACAGTGTTCATCTTACTCAAAACCTCATTGTTATCAACTTAGAGCTGACCCTCCAAGTTTTCAGAGGCTGTACATTGCATGGGAAGAGATTGCTCTTTCTTCCCAGTTGCTGGTGGATTTGAACTTCCAGAGAGGCTCCACCTTTAGGTTAACAGAGAAATGCAATACAGCCACGAGCACTCCGTACAACTTACTGACAGTACTTAATAGTCAGCTATGCAACCCTACCATTAACCCGTGTGATTTTTCCATCATAGTAAACCAAAAACTCATTAGTCTATAAGCAATAGCCCCCGCCTCTACCCAGTCGCTATCTATCTTGGTATCTACTAATAATTTGTCTATATAAATTTACCTACTTTAATATACATGAAGTCTGATAATAGCTATATTTTAGTGACTGACTTATTTCATCCAGCATAATGTTCTCAAGCTCCATATTATGGCATGTACCAAGCCTTTTTCCTACTGAGCATATTCTACTGACTCTGCTGGCATCATCTACAAGGGCTGTGCTGCTACCCTAAAGGCTGTAGGTCTCTGGCACCTTGAATCCACCAACCACTCCAAGGAGAGGTGAACAGTCTCCCATTTTGATTTATAGCCTCGGAAACTCAATAACAGGCCACCATGAGTTGAAACTGACTAGGCAGCAGAGTGTCTTAAAAATATTCTTGACACTGATGAGTCAAATGTGAGAATGGTTACCTATGGTGGACAGTGTTTGGTGAAGCTCCCCAATTAAAACAAGCTGGGAAGCAGGAGTGGCATCCACTTCCATAAGAGGACAGAAGTTATACAGTAGGTGTCCAGGACTTCGTAGAGTCGTTATGAGTTGCCTGCGATGGCACTTAACAACAAACGTGGTTAATTGCATCAATCAATGGTAATTAATGGGGGGTGTGTGATTTATAAACTTTGACTCAAATAAAACAGATTTTAAAAAAAAAAGTATTCCAGGGATATATATACCACTTCTCATTTGTTAACAGGCTTTCAGATGGAGTCCCTTCAGGTTTTCAAGACCATATAAACCTTTGTGCAAGCAGACTGCCATAACATTCACAGAATGGCTGATACATTTGAACTACCAGTCTTTCACTTGGCAGCCAGGCATTTAAGCACTGTGCCACCAGAGCTGCTTTACCACTTATTTTGAGTTGAAAAAAAAAATAGATGCACAGAAGTTGAATTGATCTACCAAACAAGTAGTCCTTTAAGATTTAAGTCAGAGAATAGTGAAGACAGAAGGGGTATGATAATACACTAGAAGTTTTCAAGAACCTTAGATGGCAGACTATTAAGATGCAAGGATTTTTGCCTTCTGGGTCAGTGGTTTCCACCTCCTCAGTCCTGGTTCTGTATGTAGTCCATGCCAAAATAAATAGGGCCTTCAGGCCTTCAGGCTGTCTGTATCTACAGGTTCTCAAAGCAGATTCAACCAGCTGTGGAGGGGGGGGAAATAACTTCCCAAAGCAATCACTCAAAAGCTGAGGAGGAGAGCAAAGTAGTCTTTACATAGTATTTCCATTTTAGTAGATATTATAATCTAGAAATAAAGCATATGCGCAAATATATGTAGGTTGTATAAGGGACTTGGGATCTGTGGATTTTATCATCCAAACAGATCCAGAAACCAGTCGAGGGATAACTGCCTAAAAGTTAAGCAGTTATTTCCAAACAGTATATGTGTTCTAACAACTTTGTGTTGGAAATAACAGTGCAAACCCTCATGGCTGAACTTTCAACCTAAATAGGCCTATCAGGTGGTTAATAATGCCAAAAACTGTGTGTGAAAGGGCAACTGCTATAACAAGAAAACATCATAGAAACAATGTATTAGGGCTATGAAAAGGTTTGAAACATTAGAAAAACTATAGAAATTAACTGATGGCATGAGAGTTGCCTTAAATCCATATACAAAAATTTTGCAGTGCTGTGACTTCTTGATGTGACTTTTGTAAGCTCTGGTCTTTGTAACTCTCACCAATCACATGGCTGGGTTTGAAAACAAGAAACAAACCCCAAACCCTCAAACTCATTGCCATTGAGTCAGAACTGACTCATAGCTGACCTTCAGCAGGTTTTTGGAGACTTTAAACCACACAGGAAGAGGTTGTCCTTCTTTCTCCTTTAGATTTGAACTCTCAGACACACAACTCCCTAAGGACTGCACCATCAGAGGGAAGTTGAATAGTTTGC